TCTTGACTTCCGGTAATCTAATGTGGTTAAAAAGAAAATCGGGATGTGATGAAGAATATTATTTGGCTTGCAACCTGACGAGACCTCACAGTTGAAAACCTGGTAGTACAGAAGGTAAAATATTTTCATTTTTTATATATATATATATATATATATATATATATATATATATATATTGATTTAAATATAAGGATCATATTTTCCATTTTATTGTTAAAATATATACAAAAGTATCTCGTTTAAGAAAAAAAGGTGGGGTTTAAGGCGCCTTTCCGTCGGCACTTCTTCAGAAAAATAATCGTCGGCAGAATAAAGCAAAGAAATTGATAAGAAAAATTATTACCAACGACTGATGTTAAAAAACAATACATTGCCAAGATGTAATATAAGGGGAAAAATTAAAGGAAGAGAAAACAAAAAACAAGAAATATATATATATATATATATATATATATATATATATATATATATAAAGTATATATATATATAATATAACCAACAATTATATTCTTAAAAGAGTATGTATATATATATATATTTATATATATATTATAAATTTTTTATAAAAATATATATATGTATAATATATATATATATATATATATATATATATATAGCTTAATATGTATATATATAGAAAAAGTTTCAAATTGAAAATTATAATGTTTTATTTTATGAAAGTATTTATTTATTTATATATATATTTGATATTTCAAATTGTCCTCAATTTTTCATCAGAAATAACTGTTTGTTACAAATAAATTAAAATTACTGTTTGTTAGCAAGTAGCGTCCTTCGCGAGACGCGGACGTCACGTGATATGCAACGTCACTGTTCGGATATTCCTAACTTAAATCTAACTGTCATAAATATTTAAATATTTTATTCACAATTTAAAAAATGATTACAAGAACCTCCAATTAGACAACAAGATCAAAGACATTTTCGATAAACCACCCATAAATGCAATGAAACAATCACCTAACTTATCAGCTATCCTCACCTCTACCAAATATCTAAACAATAGAAACCAAACAGGAAATTACAAATGTAACAAACCTCGTTGCTTAGTTTGCAAACATTTAATAATAGCTAATACATTTTCCGTACCCAACACCAATATCAGGATAGAGCCACCTAACCTCACCTGCGATACCCATAACGTAATCTATTATTTATTCTGCAACTTATAGTGGATATATTGGTGAGTCTGGAAACAATTTTAGATTTCGTTTTAATAACCATAAACAAACAATACGTCAAAACAACCCTTATTCCCCCATAGCTAAACACTACAATCAATCAGGACACACATTAGAAAACTGCAAATGTTTATTAATAGATTCCGATTTTACTTCAACATTCACACGCAGAAAAAAAGAAACATATTGGATTTTAAAATTAAATACACATAAACTAGGGTTGAATAGGGACTTAGGTGTTTTAAATCTTTATAAATATTTCAATAGGTAAGCAATTTTTTTTTTTTTTTTTTTTTTTTAGATATAGTAAAAAATTGTTTTAAATATTTATGACAGTTAGATTTAAGTTAGGAATATCCGAACAGTGACGTTGCATATCACGTGACGTCCGCGTCTCACGAAGGACGCTACTTGCTAACAAACAGTAATTTTAATTTATTTGTAACAAACAGTTATTTCTGATGAAAAATTGAGGACAATTTGAAATATCAAATATATATATAAATAAATAAATACTTTCATAAAATAAAACATTATAATTTTCAATTTGAATCTTTATATATATATATATATATATATATATATATATATATATATATATATAAAAATTGTGTATATTTAGGCAGCAATTTTTCATTGATGCATGTTTCATTAAATAATATAGACAAATTGTGTCTATTTATTTTAAGTAAGTTCCTTTCATATTGTCTGATAAGCTTAATCACATTATCGTTGAAAAACGAAAGGAAAACACCATATTGATACATGTTTAAATCCAATCTAAGCTTTCAGCTTACATAAGCCATTATCAAAGATGACAATTACTTTTCAATATATCAACCAATACACGGACGAAACAATAATGATAGTCTGTCTCGCGTGGTCATGTGTGACGTCACGAGCTGCGACGCGATTTTCGCTTCCACGTCTAGTATATACGAGTTAGTCGTTGCTTTGAAATTTTTCATGCAACAAAAACAGACTATCATTATTGTTTCGTCCGTTTATTAGTTTGGATGTAAACATGTATCAATATGGTGATTTCCTTTCGTCTTTCAAAGATAATGTTATTAAGCTTATCAGACAATATGAAAGGAACTTACTTAAAATAGACAAAACTTGTCTATATTATTTAATGAAACACGCATTAATGATATATATATATATATATATATATGTGTGTGTGTGTGTGTATGTGTGTGTGCGTAATGTTGTCGATGTAAAGACTTTTAAGAAAACCATACTACATCTCTTATGCGTTATAGCTATTATTTATTCAACTGCGGATTTCGTAAATCAAGATCGGCAGGCATAAGGGTGTGTGGGTTTGTGAGATTTTCCCAAACGTGTATCTTCTTGCGGAGATAGGAGAGATACTCTTTCCTTTCCATCTTGAAGAGGTGATGTGCGCGTGTCTATTTTCCTGTGATCCCACGTCTACACATCTTAATTGCAGCTATGGTCGACGACTGGTTTACATTTCAAGCCTATTTTGCTATCTTCGGAAGAGTCCAGTACATGCAAGAGTTGACAATGATTAACAAGTTGTTGAATGATTCGCTTTTTCTGCCTTCAGTCAGATATTTCTTTTGTGTAAAAACCGATGGGCGATAATTTGTTTGATTATATTCAACAACAGATTAAAACAGTTATAGATATTTTATTAGAGCACTAGCTTAAAATCCACATTCCGGGGGGGGGGGCTTTTAAGCTAGGTAGGCCAAAAAGTAAAGGTCCAGCTTAGAAAACAGCAATGATAATTTTGAAGAATTATTTTTAAATTCCTCAGTTCACTCCATGGAACATCAAAATCTCATTTCACGAAACCTCTCATTTTAACTCTGATTCTTTGGTATTTTGAAGAAATAAAATTGATTTTCTCAATTCACAAAATTTTAGAGATACTGAATTTAAAACAAAAAAAAATTTAATTCTCAAAGTTTTTGTGTTACTTTAAACTCAATATAAATTTTTTAAAATTATAATTTTTTTCAGTTATTTTAAAAATGGAATTTTTAACTGTTCCTTTCTCATCTAGACACAAATCCCAATTCTGGATGTTTAAGCACCAGAGGAAGCGCAGATTTTCAATCTCGATATTATTCTGATTCTAAAAAGTAATAATATGCCTATATAGAGCAAATGTGGCCCGAGTTGGAGGGGGGGTTCAGACACACAGACGGACAGACAGAATTTGCCGTTTATTTCTTTAGATTAAAACGGATATTTTTAAAAAGTATATATAATTATATTAAAACAAAAAAGGTCGAGCAAGAGTGTGTATAAAGAAAATACAACTTGCTCACCTAAATAACCGTTGAATGTACCGCAGCCGATTAGAATTTGAACTTTTGTTTTCTAATTTTCCATTCCAAGCTGATATCCATTACACGACAACGAACATCCGATTAAAACCGGCTAAAAAAAAAAAAATGAAAAACTCAGATTCGAACCTAAAATATGGCAACTGTCTAGATTTTGCATAATAGACTTTAAGGTTCTCACGTTTACAAGTGGGTTTGTTCTGAAATATTTTGCTTTGTATCGTCTACGCGGATGATGATGATGAGGAGGAGGAGGATGATGCTCTTCGTTTAGTCTCAAAGTTCATGTGACTCACTTACCCACTGACCTCTCTTTCTTATGAGGAGACCTTTGGTATCCGCTTTGATCAGGGTCTAGAGTCAAATTGACTCATTCATAGTTGGCGCGTTGTAACCTGATGATGATGTATGAAGTAGACTGATAAGAGGAATGAAGATCTAAACAATGAAACAGCCAAGGAATGTACAGGGTGGTCCGAAAGTCTTGTCACCCAATATATAAGATAATTTTCTATTTCAGATGGATGACACGAGTTCCTACAGACCTTCTCGATGTGTGACAGCATCAATGAAAGTGAATAAACTGAATCCAGTACATGTGCTTTGTATTACTATATTACTTGTTCTATTGCTCTCATGACATTTTTTGGTAGGGGTGACAAGACTTTCAGACCACTCAGTACATTTACCTTCTTATAAAATATCCATTAACCCCGGAGAATAAAATATCCAGATTATTAACGCGTTCACCGCTGCATTGTTACACCCGCTGTTTTCCTGTCTGTTAAAGAAGAAATTGCCATTTACTCAAATTTTTGTTTTACTAAACGTTCACCTAATACAAGGCCCAAGAGCCACTCAAGATAGAGGGTTACTAAATGAGATTGTCTTACGGACACAGAGGGGAGAAAGGTAGAAGTAGGTACTGATTATGAAATAGCTCATTAATAAATGACTATGAAAAAGTTTGCAGCGATTACTCATGGGTGCCACCATTTTGGTTTCGATCATATTCTCTGCCCAGATTCTGATTAAGTTGAACAACACAAGCAATATAATAAAAATACATGACAAAACAGGTTGTATCGCATGTTATTCTACATCTATGCTGGTTCGGACTGTCCTGGGCATGACGATAAAGCACATCTGGCAGCAAGGCCTCTGATCAGGAAGTTTTGAGGAGTGTGTCAATTACGGTCGTTCCTAGGTCAACCCTGACCGATGAAACCCTTTTAGGATCCCAATTATGGACAAATAGTTAACCTCCAAAATAGTGTCAAAACACCATGAAAGTATAAAATACATTTTTAAAGTAAAAAAAAAAGAACAACATTACTAGCAATAGGTTTTATAAAAGAAATTACTAATGCTCCCAAGGAAATTAAATTTCGGCATTAAATGAACCATAAGGATGTTGATATGCCGTTAAACAAACATACGCTGGTTTGTAAATAGCATTAAGAGATAGGCTTAAGGCCACATCACGTTGAAACACCGGCTCTTGTACGATCACCGAAGTTAAGCAACGTCGAGCCTGGTCAGTACCTAGATAGGTGACCGTTTGGGAATACCAAATGCTGTAAGCTTAAATGTTAGGGTAGTGTAATGGATAATGGCTCGGAATCGTTAATTGGAGAGCCGAGTTCGAATTCCTGTTGAGTTTGTTATATTTGTTTACGCGTAAATACCCTTTCGAAAGGTATGAAACCAACTCTTCTCTCCCCAGCTATGGGTTAATTAGTAAGACTTGTATCACTAAAACCATTATTATCTTCTCACAAAATTCTTACAACCTAAAAGCAACGTCGAGCCTGGTCAGTACCTAGATAGGTGACCGTTTGGGAATACCAAATGCTGTAAGCTTAAATGTTAGGGTAGTGTAATGGATAATGGCTCGGAATCGTTAATTGGAGAGCCGAGTTCGAATTCCTGTTGAGTTTGTTATATTTGTTTACGCGTAAATACCCTTTCGAAAGGTATGAAACCAACTCTTCTCTCCCCAGCTATGGGTTAATTAGTAAGACTTGTATCACTAAAACCATTATTATCTTCTCACAAAATTCTTACAACCTAAAATTATTTTCTGGCTTTAAATAACCTGCAATGGGTTGATAACTCGTAAAGAACGAATCAATAAGCGTTAGTTAGTTTATTATCCAATCGAGAGAGACCGTTATTTCAGGGTGAATTGAAAACTTATATATACGTCGACAGTGAAAGCTTCGAAAAGATGTATAAGTACGTCTACAGCAGCTGAAGTTTTCTGTTTACTTTAGTTCAGCCTATATAAGACCCAAGAGCCATTCAAGGTAGGGGTTACTGAGTGAGCTTTCTGTAAGGGTGTAAGGGAGGCGGAAAAGAAGAAGTGCATCTTATAAGGATATCTAGAATAAATATATGTTGACATTGATTTGAAGATTGTAGCGGTCGGGGAAGCATCCTCACAGGAGTCTGTTTCACAAAGTAACAGATCTGGGTGAGAAACTGTCCGAAACGAATGGGGATGATTTGACGCCGTGAACAAAATATGGTCGGTCCTGGCTGTGAAGGTCTGAATTTGTGGGACTAAAGAATGTAGTCTGTTTGAACATTTACCATAGCAATAGCGATAGTGTAGTGAGTAACATTTCATCGGATGTAGGGGGAAAATAATTCATCACCCAGAAGGCCGCGTTAATGTTTTTGAACTCGGTCAAGACACTGAGGAACAGGCAGCATCAGCCCAGATATAACAGTCATACTCCATTTTTGCTCTCATCAGATTTTGTATATATAGATCATGGCAGTAGAATTAAGGGATTCTCTGGAGAGATACCTGTGGCGGCATTAATCCGATCAGTTGAGCCGGCCCCGTCATACAAACCCTCCACATCTTAACGAAAGCTGGCCAAACGTAGCAGAGGACGTACAAATTCATAATAGAAGTTTTAGTGGGAAGTTGGATACACAACCCATACACATTTCAGAATAGTGTTATCCGGTTCGAATTCAGAGTTTCCTTCTCCTAGACTGGTTGCCACCGAAGGACCCCGTATGTTCTGCTATTTTACCTATAGCTGGGGAGAAGAAAACCTTTCACAAGGTTATTAGCACGTAAGTGAATGTAATGAACTCGACTGGAATTCGAACTCAGCTTCCCAGTTCCTTAATCTGAACCGCTAACCCATTACCTCACGGTGCTATATAAGGAATCGACCATTCTTCAAGCGTCTTTAGCGATGATACGAATATACGACTTTTATTTGAGGTCTGGAGGGAGTTTTAGACCCAACTGACGTTCGAGGCAAAGAGCCTCATTGACATTTTAGTTCCTCATTAGGACTGGAGCAAATTTACATCTTTTCAGTTGGGATGAAACGTTATCAACATTATTGGATGTATTGAATGATACAAGCCAATCATGGCCACCTTTGTACTGTGAGTGCTAGATCAGTGGAGAAATCAGCTGACAATAATATGATCGTCCAGATCTTTTGGTTTGGTTTGGTTAGTTTTACGGCTTATCAACCTCAATGGCTTATTTAATGCCGACAAGATTTCTATTGCTAGTAATATTTCTTTTCAAAACTGTATTGCTGGTAATATTTTTCCTTCCAAAATTCATTGCTGGTAATAATTTTCTTCTTCAAATATTGAATTCTGGTAATATTTTTAGAAACGTTTATTGCTAGTATTAAAACCTATCTTTTACATTTTTATAGCGTTTTGACCCCATTTTCGGGGTTAACTAATTTCCCATAGCTGGGACCCTAACAGGTGCTACCACCTCGGGTCAGAGTGGACCTGGGAACACCAGCAATTAAGAGGTGGTTCTACGCTCCTCAAAACCTCCTGATCAGAGACCTTGTTGTTGGATGTAGTTTATCGTCTTACCCAGGCCGCGGGTGTAGTTTATCGTCATACCCAGATCTTTTGAGAAACATTTATACACCATGGAATGGTTTGCATATATATATTTACTGACGAACTGAGAATGATCTTAGGCAGATCGATAATATAAAGTAGAAAGAGATTAGGTCCGGAAAGACACTAGCATTGATCGCATGGGATTCAGAGGAATGGTCATTAACAACGAATTTCATGGACCTACCTGATAGGATAGACATGGGAAGTGAGGAGAATCTTCCAGTGATTCCATAGTTGGCGTGTTTGTGTAATAATTCACTATGCCACGCGTGATATCTAAGGTGATCGCTCTAGAGATGAGTTTATTATTAAGTACTTCACTGATTCTATGCAGGATGATAGTTAACACATCAGCAGTGGACATAGAGGAACATACTTCTTGCTGCCCTGGAGTTGGTTCTGTTGAGGTGATAGCCTCAAAAAGTTTGCTAATGATACAAAGGTGGCTGATATGGCCGATATTGTTACCTAAATTCTTGTAAACAGGATATACACTAAACATCTTTCATAGGTTTGGGAAACGTTTCTTCAGACAGCAAAAAAAAAAAATGCTTTGCCAAGATTGGTAATTGCTCGGGTCCAAATAACTTAAGAACAACTACAAGAGTTTTTACTCGGACCAGTAGCCGTAGTAGAGTCAAAGATTTTGATAATGTAACAATACGATTTCTCACACATCCTTATGAGGTAAATAGATTCTTTTCCTTTTAAAGTCAAAGTTTTCAGGATTCCTGTTTCCAGTCCGCCTTTGAATTGGCAAGCATAAAATTTTGTTAGATAATCATAAAAGTAGAGTCCTTTGAAAAACTGATCACTCATCCAGCTTTTGAGTGGTCTCCTTTTCTGGAAAACAAGCGGGTGAATAAGGGTGGTGAATTAGTAATCAGTAGGCAGAGGAGAAGTCAGTCAGGAAGTTCGAGCGAGTGAGGAAGGGGGCAGTGAGGGGTCAGCAGTTGCCTAAATGGTCTGTGAATGCAGTGGTCCTATTCCCGTGGCAGGAAGTTAGTAAGATAGCAGTTCAGCTCGCCGAAGCCGAAGGAAAACATTGGCGATTTAGTGAGAAATCTTGTTGTTGTTATTTCCCAACCAGTGTCCTGAAAACATTTATCGTTATTCTTTGTTGAATTCGATCACAGCCAACGAGACAAACCTGAGGATATATATATACGTATACAACCGACCTTGGAAGTCATCACAGTCGTGCAGTAAACGCGTCGTCACAATAAGCCAGGAAACTTTCCGAGTCGAGATAAAGATATCGTAAAGCTTGAGCTCCGTAACGTAGGAGAAGCCGGGTAAGGAATGACCCCCTGTCGTCTAACATGGAGTTAGAGGAAAAAATCATTGCAAAGAGTTAAACCTTATCTGACGAGGATGAAACAACCTCAGGGTCATTTATAATAGAAGGCACTGGCAGTTTGTATATAGTGAGAATTTTGTTTGAGATTTTCCAAAAGTCGCGAGATCAAAGTTTATTTTTGTTTTCTACTTTGCTTTGGCCTCTGCCTGTACATAGTTTCTCTGTGTATTTCCAAGAGTCTCTTGCAGTGAATACAGGTCATTTTGAATGAGGCAAGAATTCTGCAACGCCCTTCGTTCTGAAAGACGGTAGTTGTTTTTACGGTGAGCCATAGCTGCAGCACATTCACATGTGGACCAACGATACCGGTTTATACCAACAGTTACATTGGTATGATTTATTTAAGTTTATTTAGGTTTTTTATTTTGCCAAGCTGAGACTAGTTTGGCAAAAGCCTAAGCGGTGGATATTAAGCAGCATTAATTTTGTGTGTGACATAGACTTGAGTAATATGAGTTACCATCTCAATCTTAGACACAACGATGTCAGAAGAGTTTGAAAATTTTATCAAAATATCTTCGGACGTCCATTTTATCCAAATATCTCCGGACATCCATTTTATCAAAATATTTCCGGACATGTTCATAAAGGGAGAAATCATAGGGATCCACAGTCAAAATTGAATATTTTATGTAATTTATATTGAATGCTGTTCAAATTACATGATTATAGTAGAAATGGTTTCAAAAATGTATTTTCATTATTTTCGGATCAAAACCTTAAATCTGCCCATTTATGGACAAAACATTGGCTAGATTATTTAAATAAGGATTACTAAATTATTAAACTTATCTATATGGAACCAAAAAATTCCGCTAGAAAAAAAGAAAAGGTTACTTAGCTGTTACGCAATATCGGTTCTCTGAAAGCTTAACAATCCCCTCACGGATGAAAAAGAGACTTGAAGCAAGAGAAATGTGGTTCTACAGAAAGATCCTGAGGATACTATAAACAACACATGTGATCAACGACGAGGTTTGAGAGAAAATAAAAACAAAAAGGAAACTTATACTTAAAATTAGGAAGAGAGAGCTGAATTTTCTATGGCACATAATAGGGGAAGAGGTTTGGAAAATCCGATACTCACAGGGCATAATGAAGACAAATGGGACAGAGGAAAACAACGCATAACCTACCTAACGGACTTGTGTAAATGGATGACATGACATGGTTTATAAGAGATTATAAGACAATATTTACTAAAATTTACATAGGAAATGATCGCCAACGTTCCGAAGGTATAGGTTACATGAAAAAAGAAGACATGGTAATAAACAATACATTTCTATTTCCCTTAGATTGAACAAAAAACCAGTAT